TTTGTTCTTTACATAGAAAGGAAAGATAATTTATTAAGTTGAATAAAGAATGAAGAATTTTTAAAAATGAAATAAAATAAATGTTACTTGCAAGCATAAAAATGTGATAAAGATGGCCCTTATTCACCTAACTTATGTTATTGATTTATCATTGTGAAAAATGGACATTTTTACAGAATTTCGCCCGACTCAACTTTAAATTGGTATTTAATTCTTTTAATCCAATCCAAACACACAAAAAAACATATTTCAGATTCGTTTCAATCTGGAATAAAAAAAGATTGCCAGAAAACAGAAAGTTTGAAAATTAATCTTAGTCAAATTATGATTTATTTTATCAAATACAAATGAAAATGCTTACAAAACATTTATGAACTTTGAAATAAGGCAAAAGTTAAATAATCCCCGGTGAACATAGAAGGAGAGCAGACATTTCTTTTCTAAGCACTTAAAATATTTAAACATACTACTGTTTTTATTTTTTGAAGAAAATTAAAAATTTTCATTCATACATTATAACCTAAATGTTGATGGCATTTTCCTTCCATTTTTTGCACTCTCTTTCAGAGCATTTTGCTTTAAAACATCATTTTGGGGGATTTTTAGTTATTTTTGTATTATAGGGCACTTTTTAAAAAATTTTCAAGTTCTAGCTTATTTTCCTCACATTTTCGTAGATTTATGTTTAACGTTAACCAACTAGATAAGGTCTGCCATTTATTTGACAAATGGTTCTTATAATAATAATAATTATCCTTTCGAAACTTTTATTTGAAGGACTATATTATAATTCTACATATAACATGGAGAAAAAAAATATTGGAATCATGTGACAGGTAAAGAAGATACACAACAATGATTGATTTGATGGTACGAATTGACGTAGCATATGTAGATGAAATGTTTCATAGGTAAAAACGCAAATTTCATACAATTAAATTATACTGGGGAACAAATTTTTTATTATTTTCTGTTACATGAAATTTATAATAGGAAAGTGCTTCTGACAGCGCACACCGAGATTTCCGGGCATGGGTTCTTATGCAACTTTAATACTAATGATGTGCTTTAACTCCCCTAGATTGCGTTCCCCTGTTACTTATAGCATTTTTAAATTTGGATATTTCGTCAAAGAATAGACTAAAAACGAAGTTTTAAAAAATTCTTTAGCTTTAGGAGCAAATCTAATTTTGAAAACCCCACATTCGAAGTAGACAAGATCAAGTATTTGCATGAATGCAGTGTTATCAACACCAATAATTTATAACTGTCGTTGAGCAGCCAATCCAATTTTTGGGGGTTTACAACTATTCATGTTCATCTGCGTAGCCTTGTAATTTTGAACCCAATATAGAAGACTAGGGAACTCCTGGATAGATAATTAGGAGAAATTTGCATTTTAGGAAGACTTTTTAATGAAACTAACCAGCATTTGCGTTACATGGAGGACGTTACATGGATTACATGGATTTGCGTTACATTATAGAGGAAAACCACGAGAACCTCCCACGGTTAGCCTGACGGCAAGTGAACTCTAACCCATGATCATTGAAAGGCGAACGCTCTATCCCTTGAACCATCAACACCAATAATTGTTGTTAGGTTTCGTTGAACAGTATGACACATAAAAATATATCTAAAAATAATTCCTAAAAATTTATTGATTATGAATTTTTTTCGCTGAGGGAGATTTCATGTGGAACGGTTTTGGGACATTCTGTTGCGGATTTAATGGAGATGGTAAGGGTGCGCTGCCATTTGTGGATGATCTGGTGTTACCCATTTGTCTTGTCCGAAGAACTTTTTTTTTTCTTTAGTTAACTACCAGCTCATTTCCCAGCTTTCCTGCATGCTGTTCTGAGAAACGCTGATTGAATTTAAGTCATATAAACTTGACAAATCTTCTATTTTATGGCCTCATGTTTTGCCCTCTGCTTGGCGTGTTAGCTAAATTCATCTATTGACACATCAGTATAACTGTTAAGTTCCTTATTGATGGTCTTCTGTTGAAATGATATACTCTTTCATCTTTAATGGACATAATCAAATTTTAATGAAAATAATATCTAAATTTCTCATGTTTTAAAACAACCGTATGCTATATAAAATTTTAAGAAAAACTGATAATTAAAATTCTAGTTTAATTCCAAGAAAAAATTTTTTTTAATTTTAAAGGCATTTTTTTATGTTTTTAAGAGTATTTTTTACTATTTGTAAGAACACTTTTTCCTTGATAATCAAAATACAAGCTCTAATAGTGCTTGAAATAACCTTTTTGCGGCATAAACAGAAAAAAACCTTTCAATGGACATCAAAGGAACCGCTTAAGAAAACAGGAAGAAGATTCTCCCTACAGATATCTAACGATAAAATGAAGCTTTTTAGAATGATTTTACACTGCCTTTAACAATAATTAAAAATACATGTTGAGTTTCTATTTTCTTGCATCATTTAAATAATTACTTGCTTTAAAATTGTATAAATTTTCTACTAATTCTTAACTTTGAAATTGTCCTTGCGCAAGGAATGATTTCCAAATAAACTTTTAAAAAAAACATTTTTCAGACAATAATCTGTATATAATTTTCGTGGGCGATTATTTTCATATTTCTATGACCAACATAAATGACTCTTGCGTTAATTATTTTTGCTTGAATGCCGTATGCCAGTAAATAATTGTAAACAGCAAAATATTTGCAAATCACGCTGCTTTCTATGAGGTACTAAGTATAATTAGCCAATAAATATTTTTTAAAAACAAAAAACTATTCCATAGGTTTTAAATTTTAAAAAAATTTCAAAGTGTCGTATTTTCTAAGAATTAATGAAATATCTTTCTTTTTTTTAATATGAATTTTTATAACATTACTCTTATTCATTTTATTATTACTAATACTATGTGTTTAGTAAAGCTTCTATCCTGCTAAAAATTCGTTGGAAATTTTTGAAATACTAAGGTATTCCTTTCGAACCGTTTTGCAACTCGAAGTACGTTCATTGTATTTTAGTCATTGATGGTCTTAAAATGATGTTTCTATTTGAGAACCAAGAAATCTTTACATGCTCTACAAAATCCTTCTCAATTGAATAATACCTCAATCAATACATTTATTTTAGATCTCAAGAATTATTAGATATTATTAAGAGCATTCCTATTAAGTTATATTACTAAGGAATTATTTAATTATACGCAGCAAAAATTTTTTTGTATAACTAGGGAAAAAATAATAATACACACAACAAAACACCCTAGAGGATGATCTTCTGCAGAGGGGAATTTTGTTAGTGTGTATGATTGAAGAGTTTAACGAGGACCTTCAAAGGTTGGGCCCGTTTAATACCTAACTTTGGAGATTTACTAAGAATCGTGTCTTACGACTTAATACTTAATAAGATCTTATTTATATAATTAGATGAAATTGAATCACACTTGAGTTGTTGTTTATTTGCCTATGTCAATATCATAGCGATTTTCGTCAATATTTCTGATTGAATTTCGGACCAGGTATGTCCCTAGATGAGTATAATTTTCAAGCACTGTTACGTACTCTTAAGTTTTCTTTATTTTTTCCTTATTTCTAATATTTTTTAAAACTCATCTCAAATTTCTCTTAGCTCATTTTGCCCCACCGAAGGTAAAATTTCCAAAAAGTTGGCTTACATTGCTGAAAATTTCTCGGAAAAAGTGGTTTTATTTAATAGTTATTTTATCATATTCAGCCAAAACAGTCAAATAATAATAAAAAAGATAACTGTGAGAAAAATCATTTATAGCGGTCTTCATCTAATACGGTTAAACAATCCGCTTCAACTAAGTCCACATCCAATGAGAGCTCGTTCTTCGAAAGCTGGAAGCTAAGTCATGTGATATGGATTGCAAATTCTTATTTTTATTTACCATCATTGAATGTCTAAAAATTTTACAGTATTAAGTGTGTGGTGAACACCTTATGAAGCCACATAGAACTATTGCATTCCAGCAATAACACCCTAATATTTCCCCTACACCTTCAACACATTTCAATTGGTGATCCTAGACTATCTTAACTCGCATTCACTCAAAGTCCCAATACAGAACTGGTTAACAAAAAAAAATCTAGTATTCTCCATCCTTCACAATAGATGACACCAGAGGATGAACAAATAAAGCCATGTTCCATGATTCACCAGACAAAACCCAACTCAACCACAACCCAACTCCAATGCCCAGTTAAATTTCATTTTAGGTTTTGAAACCATGCTAGGTATAAATGGTTGCAAAGCCGTAAAGATTTGCATTCATGTTTTTTATACCAGTTATAAACGGTTTCAAACCCGTAAAGAAATGTCAACTTTACGGCTGTTATTTTAGCGCAATGCAGAAGTATTTTTCAATAGTAACCGTCAAATACTCCCCAGGATTTTAACTGAAAACAACCAATCAATTTAGGTTTGATTGTATTCATTTATAAATAGCTTTGTTTCCATTTCATTTTCTCTTCGGTCAGCACTAATTATGAATAGTTTTCAAATATTTAAAAAGTTACGTCATAAAAATTTGCCGATTCTTGTGATTTCAATAGAGATTTTAAAAAAATCTCTATTTTTCTTAAAAAGTTTAATATTTATTTCGAAATTATTTAAGCTGTTTCTGTGAATGCTACAATTCCATCAATTCTGCTCAGAATAAAATAATAATAAAATTCTATGAAAATAGGGAATATATAGATGCAACTAAGGGTATTAAAGCATGAAAGAAATAAAAGAAGGGTTTAATGTGAAAGCAATCTAATGGAGGAGAGTAACGCATATAGAAGGTCCAGTGATCCCTCCCCTATACGTCACACGTTGGAACCACATGCGATGGTTACCACAATTATTGTGAATTGACGTAAAGAAGATTTTGTAAATAAATCCTCCACTTTAGACATTCCTAAAGAAAAAAATGCCTCCAAGTTTGCCCCTTAAAATTCTCCTGTGTAATAAATTTTGAAGCTAACAACTCTCTTTTTATTTTGCAGATCCGATGCGAGATCATCTAAGTCTTTTTAGTAGTCGACAACAACCTAAAAAAAAAAGAAAATCTCGAACAGCCTTCACAAATCATCAAATTTATGAGCTGGAAAAAAGGTTTCTCTACCAGAAGTATTTAGCACCAGCGGATCGGGATGAAATTTCTCAATCTCTAGGCTTGACAAATGCGCAAGTCATAACATGGTTTCAAAACCGTCGAGCCAAATTAAAAAGAGATATGGAAGAACTTAAAAAAGACGTTGATGCCGCCAAAGTAAGACACGAAATGACTGATTCTGATTCTCCATTGGATACTTAAGCAGTTATTGTACAGGATTATTATTTGTTGTTTGACTATGAATGATCATGTTATTAAAAAAACGTTGCAACGTTTTGAATTGAAAAAAAGAGTTTTAATATTCTCATATTTGAGCAAATTTTAGTTTTTTTTTTATTTTCAAATTTTATTTGTATTTTGTTAAATAACTTAAAATGGTTTTGTATACGTTCTTTTTTTTGTTGTTGTTGTATAGTTTGTTTTCTGTGATAAACACGTTTATTTTTTTAAAGAGAAACAGATGAATGAAATTTGAAATATTTTATTTATTTCTGTATTAATAGGTACAGTCAATAAATAACGAGGCTATTTAATAGAATGTATTTAATGATATATATTTATGGCACTTAATAATTTATTTAATGCATTATAAACAAATCTTTATATAGCAACACAATGTCAGCAATCCATTTGCATTTTAAGCTCAGCAAAGATCTCAAATAGCTTTACTCTCTTCACTATGTTATCATGTGACAGAAATTAACGTTTAGATTTGTTAACTCTTCCGTCGATTATTAACTCAAGTTTAATTTCAGAAAAAACTTTTGTGATCTCCATAATGAAAATGGTATGAATAGCCATCCTTTTATCAATGATGCCACAATTAGTAATACTTAATTTACGTCGCACTAGATTTGTACAATTGTCTGGGAAACATCTATGAGAATGCTCCAGAGACATCACAATTTTGATCTTATGACAAGGTTCCACCGTTTTGGAAGCCCGATTACCCGCGCGTGAAAACTTTACTGTGGTAACACAGCTGAACGCGGACAGTCCACCCTTGGTCCCTTCTCAGACTAATCAAAGAAGTCACCTCGCTGACCACAGACAGTAAGACTTGACTCGACTGGGTCTTACGATCAGTCTACTGTGGAACGCTCGTGTAATAAATATCACAACTTAGTGGATGAAAAGCGTGGGAATTATTTTCGCCACACCAGCAACTACATTTCATTCTCCGTTTTTCTCGCATCCATATTTTTTTTAGTCTTAATTAAATGCAATCTGCCTCGTTATTTACCAAATGTACCAACTATTTATGCACTCTTTACATTACTGAGAGTTGAATGAATATAAAAATTAAGTTTCAGCATAACAAACAAAATAAAATAGTTATGTTATATTGAGTAAATAATCTCAAGAAACTGAAGTAGTAAGTTATTACTTGATTAAAAACTTCATTCAAAAATATACAAATTGGAATTAACAGTCCATACATATGATAGACATGCCTGTTAACACGATATATATGTCCGTTATCAAGAATTCATCAATTGGTTGAAATCTTTTCCATAAATTCAATTTCGACCATACCAAAATTATCCAACCCAATTACATCAGCTCACCTTGAGTCATGTTTTATTCATATGAATCCTGATTCTCTTATTAAAGTTATCAGCGACAACGCGTGAAAATGCATTTTACACTGATTTGCCTCTCTCGGTTATTGTGGTTTTTCCTGTTCTGTTTTTCATCTTTTTTCTCTCCCGGCAACTTTCGGTTTCTGGCTTTGTTTCTTTCCTTTATTTTCCGTTAGAAGCTTAATATTTAAAAACACTTTTGTTTCTCCTCATTCAAGTCTGGCAAGTCTTGAAAATTAGCACCTGTTTTTGAAAGTTTGAAACATGTCGACTGTTGTTTTCAATTTGTATATTTCTGAAAGGAATTAATTTTTTAATCAAGTCATAGTAATGTTATAATCTTTGTGAATTCAAAGAGTGTTGCTAATAAAGCTAAACCAAAGACATAAAAACATTACTTTTATAATGTGATATAGAACGTTGGTGATAGTAGAGAAAGTTATTTTTTGTTAATTGTTTGTTATAATTTCATAAATGTAGTCCCTAAATTATGATCTTTAACTACTCTGATAGAATGCTTTTATTTCAAATCACCAATTTTAATAAATATTATTGAGTCCTTACTGTGATTTTTTAATGAGTAATATTTATCAATAAAAGCTCTGTTTAAATGCATTCATAATGCTTAATATTATTTAACAATATTTAAGATACATATTATTAATTAAATCAATGAAAGAATTTTTATTCCTCAATAGCCAAACTAAAAAAAAAAGTCATAAAACTAGATAACTGAAACGGCATATTATTTTATCTGGATACCGAAATTAGACAAAATGACATATAAAGCAGTCGTAACGACGAATTGCTTCGTTCACCGTCTTTTTATTTATATGAATTATCCAATTCTTTAAAATTAATTTTTCGTTTTCTAGTGCTCAATGTCAAAATCAAATAGGCTTAGAAACTGCTATTGTATCGCAATTTTCTGAATTAGCAACTCAATCGGCAAATCTGTCAAAATAAACTACGATAAAGCAGCTAAATCTGGATATTTTTAAATTCAATTTATGACAACAGCAGTTATTAATAATATAAAACCAGGATGAGGATTGAGGTAAATATACAGTTCCTGGTCAATTTATTATACGCACTATAAGATTCCATTCGAAATCTTAATTATCAGCTGATACTATACAACTTGATTGTTTTGACGAGACTGAAAACGGTTTCTACTTGTTTATGTTCGTGCGTCAATTGATTCGATTGGATAAACTAGACAATATATTGTATAGCTTAGAATATTTGTTAAATCAGGTATTATATTAGGATATTATAATAATTAGATCAAATTATAGGACACACTGTAGTGTTTTAATAATTACATGTGATACTTTTATATTTAAACTTTCATGTAATGGGTTTTTATTCAGGAGATTTTTTTATATACATCCTATTTGTATTTATTTTTAACGCATTGCATTACAATGTTAAACAATTGATACATGAACGTAAACAAGCGTAAACCGGTTACAGCCGAGTGAAAACAATAAAGCTGTATATCACCTGATAATTACGATTTTACATAGAATCTTATAGGGCGTCTAATTATTTGACCAGAGACTGTAAGTACCGGTACAAATGCGCACAAACAACTTGTCGAATAAAACCGACCCTAGAGGCGATATTCCTGGCTCTACAAGCTTGTAATAGCTGTGCGGAATTAACCTCTAAAATTCTATATAAAATTATTTTCTATATGAATGAATATTTTAAAAACAATAATCATTGATTATTTTTTTTTTAAGAAAAAGTGTTTTGCGGACACTCTCTGATAAACAGGAATTATTGGGTGAACTCAGGATAGAAGTTTTTACCTGAATACTCAACTGCCTTATCTCCAAAAATTATTTAACTTCCTGAAATTCCAGGTCTAAATACTGCAATTTTCCCTTAAAAATATATAGCTTAGAAGAATTCAGAAGAAAAGATTCGATAAAATATTGGAAAATATGTAATTTATGAAGTGTAATTAACTGTTTTTATTATTACATAAGAAATTATATATTTTGATTTCGAGCATTTTTTGCGTATTGTAGGATATTTTTATAGCATAATTTTCGTGTCATGAAACAAAATCTATAAATAATAAGATATATAAAGGGGAAAATTGAAATCATTTTAAAAATTACACTGATTCTTGTTGCATATTTAAATAATCAGTGCTGAATTGGTTACAATTAACCAACTAAAAAATGCATTAACAGGTTAAATAAACTACCAAACTTTATAGGCTTAAGACTTTAAAAAATTAGGGCAACATACTCACCTTTTGAAAAGTAATCTCTCAAAATTTTTTTTTTACAAATGAATCATGAAAGCACTTTTAAAAAGTCTTGTTCCAGACAACTTAAAAAAAAAAGAGATTTTCTAGATTTATAGTAAGATAAATTTTTTAAAGTACATTAAGATTTTGAAGTTATTTTGCACATAAAAAATTGGTCAAACATAAATAAAAATATTTGACCTATTTTCTAAGATTGCTCTATGTCAAAACTTTTGTAAAAAATAAACGACAAATTCTTTATACATAATAACTGGCATATATTTTTGAAAACATCTGAGTCTTGAAAAAATATTCATGGACCTGTCTGATAAAAAGGTAACTTTTAATTGTCATTAAAAACTATTTTTATGTAGGCATCTATTGCCTCTGGAGGTTAAAAGTAAAAAGCGGTATCAAAGCCATTATCATACGTTAATTTGATGGTTTTTAAATAAATTATGTTTTTTCGTTTACTGGAGCGATGATAGGATTAAAGAAAATTTCCAAGATCAAAAGTCCCTGTAATAAAATTTCATTTTGTTAAGAAAACATTTTTAAGAAAATTTTGAAAATGAAATGCGGTGCTTCGAGAAATGAATATGTATTGCATTTCTGTATGTCATTCACTGATTAACATAGATTTATTTGTAAAAGAAAGCACTCATTTAAAAGTGTCGTGCTTACATGCGAAGCATATTACCAATATTTAATTTATATTTTCGTGATGGAAAAGAATATTATATCAATATAAATATTAATTTTCAATTGCATAAATGACACACATATTCATCAAGACTAATCAAAAATTGGCTTTGATTTTATTTAACAAAAATAAAGCTATCGTACATTTTTAAATGAGAAAACTCCAGTTCATATTTATTGTTAACTGTGTAGAATAATTTATTTTACTTTTTTTATGGGGATGAAACAGTAGCTTTATATTACTTTTCGTTATTGATAATATTTTACAAATTGAAGTGAATTGCTAATATTTCAGGCTTTTTCAGTGAAATATTAGTACTCCTAGAAATATGTACTATTAAAAATGTATATATTTGAGTATTTGTGCAATCAATATAAATGTTTTGTTGATCATTTTGTTAATAAAATTTCTGATTATGGAGTTTTTTTTCTTCTTTTAACCAGAAAAGAACCTATAAAATAAGATGTGAAGTAAGTTTGCACTTTAAGAAAAAAATGAACAAAGAAGAGAACAATTAATCATTTCAGATGGCTTGTTTTTTGTTGTTGTTGTTACTCTACGTCGCACTAGAGCTGCACAATGGGCAAAGCTTGTTTTTTAAAGGTGTGAGTTCGCGTCCATAATTGGTGTTTGGACTTGACTTTAAATTGTGTATGAACGTTTAATTTGGTGTTAACTTGAAATAAAGAGTTCC